ATCCATGCAATGGAGTTACGTTAAAATTTATGGAAATTAATTTAGAGATTAATCGTTTTGGATTTGAATTTAGTTGTCTTGATATGAAATTGAGTTTCAATTGTACATGCATTATGAATTTTTCAGAGTTTTGGAAGATCAATTCATGTTTTAGAATTTGTGGGTTTGAAATTGGACTTGATATGAAGAAAATGAATTAAATTTAAATTTGGACGAGTTTAGAGATAAATTATAATTTATGCTAAGAATCAAACAGTTAGTTTGATTTTAATTTAAACTTCATCTATACGAATATTATTGAAAAGGGGATTTGTAGCTTCAATTTTATGTTTCATAAAATAAAGAAAGAATTGAAAATTGATTTTTAAAACATGAAATTCAAGGTTTAAATTTGAATTAAAACCATGGAATTTTGAAGTATAAGTGGAATTAACTTTAAATATATGTAATTGGGAATGTTTTTGTATATTTGAGTGAGTCATGCATGAATTTGGAGCCTTGGTGATGTGTTTTGAAGTTTAAACAACATTCTGGAAAACTCAGAATTGGTCATCATCGATCAAACAAAGAAGTTGTCGTTCGAGCGTAGAATGCAAGCAACCAATATTTTTGCAGACCAAGGGGTCTGTTCGAGCGACCAATGTTGTGCTCGAGCGAAGAGCCTTGTTTCAAAAAATTTTGAAAAGATGTTTTATATTTCGATTTCTGTTCTCTCACTTCTAAGCACTCTTAGGCATGTATTGAGTATTATAAATGAACTACAGAGTTAGAAAAAGTCTAAGAGAATTAAACAAGTTAAGAACGGAATGAATTGTATTGTGACCTGATTTCTATGTGTATTATGAATTGTGTAGGGTTAACTACAAGGATGAACTAGGCATTTGAACATTGTGAGTAACACTTTAGTAAAGATATGTTCATATATGTTATTTTTCTTATACTACTCACATGTAAGTTTTTCTGAACTTGTGATCTTACATTATGAATGAGAATTCTATTGCTTGAATCACAAATGAATTTATGAATGTTTGTCAAGTATAAACTGTACAAACGGGCCTGAGGCCGTCTGTTATATGTTTCAAGGGCACGAAATGGGCCCGAGGCTATTTAATATGAATGAATTGGGGCCGAAGCCGTTTGATACGAATGAATTGAGCCCGAGGCCATTTGATAAGAATGAATTGAGCCCGAGGCCGTTTGAATACGAATGTGATGGGCCAGAGGCTGTTTGAATATGAATATGATCATGATGACGAATATGAAATACGCATAAATATGGATATGAAAATGATGGGCCAGAGGCTGTTTGATATGTTGGGCCAGAGGCCGTTTGATATGTTTGGGCCTGAGGCCGTTTGATATATCTGATAAAAATATGAATGGACCAAAGGTCATTTAATATGTTTGACAAGTATATTACTTATTAGAGAATCTCATTCATATAACCTCTTTACTTTGGTATTATTCACTGGGCGTTAGTTCACTCTTTATTTATATATATGTAGGTGCCGGTGAGCAATTGAAGGATCAACATTAGAGTTTGCCCACGAGTCTGCCTCTTTGTCAAGCCACCCAAGAGTGCCTTTGTGTAAAGGCTTTGTTTTGTTTTGTCAAGCTTGGGTTAATCTTTGTATTTTGTTAAAAGTCCTTCATGAAGTGTGTGAGATATGTTATAAGATATGTCTTCATACATGCATATATAAAAGTATATTAAAAATGTTTTAATTACTACAGTTGATCATGTACACACAGCTCAATGGACATTATTATTTTTGTTTTGCTTCTGCTTTAGGCCCCGATTATACTTAAATATTTTGAATTTTGTCTTTGAGGCCGTAGGTAATCTTTGGATTACTGGCCGATTACGATGCTAAACCTATAGGGGCGAGTTTGGGTCGTGACAATTTTGTTCCAAATACACTCCCTTCTATGTATAATAAGGACAAAGAATGAAATGTATTTGAAGAAAAAATGGAGTTGGAATAGCAGCTCCCGTAAAATATTAGCCGTGACATTATGCTAAAGTTATCAACACCACTAGATTTACTGGAGTACATATTTTACAAATAGTTAACCCGTGCAATGCATGTACTATTTTTTTTTTTCAAAAAATATTTGATAGTACAATGTGTGTTAAAAAAAATAATTTTTATTTTTATTTAAATTTAAATTTAAAATTAAAGTATGATTTTAATTATTTATTTTAATAATATTGGCGTTATCGTTCTATAAAATTATTGCTTTAATACATATATATATATATATATATATTAATTTTAGTTAAATAATTTATGTATTTTGATAATTTTAGTTCTATTGTATTATAAAAGTGTAATTATCATATAATAATTTTGTATGATTTATATTAAATTATAAAATAATAAAATAAATACTCATTTTGATATTAAAAATAATAGTTAAATTAGAAAAAGAATTAGGAACATAAAATTAAAAGTAATTCTAACCATTTAATTTTCTTTTATATTCATTTGAAAAATAAAAATATACATAAATATAAATTATATAAAATTTATTAAAAAAATTAAATATAAATATTTTGTAGTTGGATTATCATATAATGATTTTAGATGGTATATATATATAAGATCGTAAAATAAACACTCTTAATTATATTAAAATATCAACTATATAAAAGAAATTCAACAACGACTAACCAACAAAGAATCACATAACAATATCTAAACCCAAAAAGAAAAAATAATAAAAACATCCAAACGATAGATATATCTCAGTGTGTAAAGTGATTAATCATCTATAATATGATGTCAAAACATAAAAGAACTTACTATTCAACAGTTGAAAAAGTAACTCAAGCAGTAAATCCAAACTTTAAAGGTTCCTCAATAGTATCATTGTTGTGCAGATTTTTCCTCATGTGAGTTGTGATTATATAAAATAATGTAGGAAATAAAATATAATTTCATATATAGAATCACTATAAAATTTAAACAATAATTTCATAATATAGAATAATATAAAATTGGTATTGGATATAGATTAATGCACCAGAAAATAAGAAAGGAAAAAAAAAAATCATTTTAACATTAAAAAAAAATTCGTAATACCCTTGAAAGTATTAAGAAGAAAAATGTGAAACGCAAAATTAGTATTGGATTTGTGGATTATCTCAATTTATCATGAAAAATATATGAAAAATAAATATCTGTCAAATAGAATCCATATAAAATAAGTAAAGTTAATATAATTAAATTAAGTTTGTGTTTGTGTAAAACTCTATATATAACTAAGAAAATACATGCTGACGTGACTTTCTTACAAAAAATAATAATAATAATAATAATAAAACATTTATAATGTGCTACCTAACCATCATAGTTCTAAATCGCGGTATCAGGTAACGTAACGATATCGATATCGATCGCGGAGTATCGGTATCGGTAGTATCGGCCGATACGTATCGGGAATCGAGTGTCACGGCCGTGAAATTTTAAAAATCATTAGCAATCCTCTGAAACTCAATTTTATGCATTTTTTTTTTACTCTTTTAGCCTTAATTTGTCACATTTTAATCAAAATTTTGATATGTATGAATACTTTTGACTCATTTTCAACTAAATAATTGACTCATTTTCAACTAAATAATATATATTTATTTTAGTCTCAATTATAAATTTTAATTATCTACAATTTTAAAAAAATCCACAGCAGTAGACCACCAACTAGACCCATGAGTTGGTTAAAGAAGTGGGGACTTACCAGCCTGTCCCATGCAAACAGATTAATACCCACCAAATCCTGCTCTATTTCAGTTTCCAATTTTACCCCTCAATGTCACACCACATGCGTGAAGTAAAGAAGATATCACGAGCTCTCCCTTGCGCGCGTGACACACATGCTCCTTCTCAATTGTTCTGATTTGAAAACTATTCTGAGGCGATTTGCGATTTGTGATTTGGAAATCGAAACAAACGAAGAGATTTTCCCTGAATCTCCCATCGTTTCCAAAGAAATCACCTCTGTTTCGATCTATATTCTGATTCCGAACAGATCCCCAGCAAATCTTCTACCGTTTCGATCTATATTCCATGTTTAGTTCATCTTCAACAAACATGCAAATCAAACGTGAGTCGTATTCATCTTCCGTTCTTCTTTTATAACTATAATTAAGTGATATTCAACTTCATAATAATCACATCTTCATGTTCATTTTCTATACAATAATAGATTTGCTTATTTTTCCCAATTTAGTGAGAAAATTTGCTATAAGAATGATAGATTTGCTTAATTTTTTTAATTGAGTAATAAAATTTGTTATAATGATGGATTTGCTTCCATTCTTCTTTCATAACTATAATTGAGTTAAAAAATTCGACTTGAAGCTATTTTCAATGTGTATCATACAATATTAATTTATGATTGATATTCAACTTCATAATAATCACATCTTCATGTTCATTTGCTATACAATGATGGATTTGCTTACTTTTGTTAATTCAGTGATAAAATTTGATATACAATAACAGATTTGCTTACTTTGCCCAATTCAGTGAGAAAATTTGCTATAAGAATGATAGGTTTGCTTAATTTTCCTAATTGAGTGATAAAATTTGTTATAATGATGGACTTGCTTCTCTTCTTATTTCATAACTATGGATTTGCTTCCCTTCTTCTTTCATAACTATAATTGAGTAATAAAATTTGACTTGAAGCTATTTTCAATGTGTATTATACAGTATTAATTTATGAGTGATATTCAATTTCATAATAATCACATCTTCATGTTCATTTGCTATATAATGATGGATTTGCTTACTTTTGTTAATTCGGTGATAAAATTTGATATACAATGACAGATTTGTTTACTTTGCCCAATTCAGTGATAAAATTTGCTCTAAGAACAATAGATTTGCTTAATTTTCCTAATTGAGTGATAAAGCAAGATACCTTCTCTTCCCAATCCACCAAAATTTTCATTGGACAATACTTGTCCTTGACATTGAAGAAGGTTCATGGAAATTCTACAATTCCATGAGACCAAGGAGAGCAATGACTAAAGATCCACACTTCAATGCCGCAAATGAAGTGGTAAAAATGTTTTCACTATCAAACTTACCAATCATCCAATACATCAATCCTGATTCATACTCAATTATACATCAAAAATTTATACAATAATATATTTATCATTATTTAAATCCATGGTTTCTCGTTAATTGTTTCAACTAACTTTTTAATAGAACAATTATACAAATGTATATGTTGTAAAGAGAGATTATTGACAAGTACATAAATGATAAGAAGCCAACTCTCATTAACCCTGATAAATTTCAACAGGAGACAGAGAGCGTCATCAACAGCCCACAACAAGAAGACACGTCGTAAGTTTATCAACAACAAAACACTCTTATAAAAATAAAAATAAAAAAGTAACGAAACCAAATTATAATATTTTGATTTCAAAATATTTTTGCAGGCTTGATTGTGAAATCATTGTTTGCTATATCATGAGACAATATGTTTCCAAAAATAACATAATGCCTACTTTTTCCAAGGAAGAATGCAATCAATTGAGAGCCAATATGTTAACTATTTTCTTAACTGACCAACAAGCTGCTCAACAATAAATAGTTGATGAAAACATTGATGACTTGCCTCCGCAATAATCAACAGATCTGGAGCATTGATGACTTCATACATTTTGTTTGTTTGGTTGTTACAGTGTTACTTGTATTTTGATGATTTTGGTTCTTACTATGCTCCAATGAATATTACAATGCTTGGTTGTTACAATGTCAAAGTTATGAACAGTGCTTGGTTGTTACAATGTCAAATTTGCCTCAATGAAACATTCAGTCTTTTTTAGCCATAGTATTACCAGATTTGGCTTTTGATATCAGTCTTGTTATGCAAATTTCATTCAAAATATTGATTTTGATCTGATTATTTGTATCGAATTTAAAGGTTAATAACAGGTTTGGAGTCACTATACTGATAAATTTATTTTTTTATAGTGTTTTGTTTACACTAATAAATTTATCACTGTTTCAACAAATTTATTACTGTGAACACTGATAAATTTACCACTGTTCAAACAAAAAAAACTAGCAACTCTCTATCTCTCTCTCTCTCTCTCTCTCTCTCTCTCTCTCTCTCTCTCTCTCTCTCTCTCTCTCTCACTCATTCTTTTTCCCCAATCCAAGTAAACAAAACACTATAAAAAATAATAAAAAAATTTACCTAAATTAAAAATTAAAACACAAACACTATTACATTGTCCAAATTGGAAATTAAAATACTGTTACAATTTATAGATATTCCCAAGTTTGAGAATGAATGTAAGAACATGCAATCCTTGGTGATTTCTGAATAATTAAAATCATTTGATACTTCAGTTAAACAACTCAAACATCCAAAGCTTGCTTCTGAGTGACCACAAAACAGTATGCAGACTGAGAACTTGTTACTAAACCAGATAAACATGGTAGTTGATCTAAAATTTTTTGCTTTGCAAAGCAGTTGACACAGCTAATATGCAATTATGTATGCTAGAGATTTGATCTACAGCTTTGTATTGTGGAAATTTTTCCTAGGAAAATTAGATAACTTCAGACAATAATTGCTTCCTATAAGTAAGTAATATACAAAGATCTACTCCTTTGAATGCTGAAAGACTTATGGGGAAAACCGTATTCAAACTTTGAATCTCAAATCTACTGTCCTTTGGAATCTCATAAAAGGCATCCACTATATAAAATCACTCAGAAACAACAAAAGACCAAAAAAGGATATATGTGTACATATATATATTCATTTTCTTTCTTCTCCTTTTATCAGCAATCAACCCCAGAGTAAATAAAGTACAGTGTGAAGAAAAAGAAACTGGAAAGAGGTCTAGCATATGTCATTGTAAATTCAATGCACAAATTATTTGTGTTTCTGAGGGATGCATTATCTAACAAGCAAGGTTGTATTCTTGTTTGAATTAATCAAGGCACAGAAAAACTAAAAACATGTATAACTAGTGACAACAATTGATTTTTGTTGAGTTTAAGCCAGTGATAAATTTATCACTGTCAAAAAGAACATTTGCTTGGATATGACAGTGATAAATTTATCAACCACTGACATAAATGTAATAAACCGTCAACTCTTCCCATACAATCAGTGATAAATTTATCATTCTTGAAAATAACAAAATTCAGGAACCCCATTAATGCTTGATTGCTTCTTTCAGACAATGGTAAATATATCCTTCTTACAAAAAAATAATCTACCAACCTGTCCAAACTAACCAGTGATAAATTTATCACTGTATAAAACACCAAAAACAGCAACTACATTTAATCCAAATCAAATAATATAAATCTGTGAAACTTAATCCTGTAAAAATATCGGCAAAAAATATAATTTCTGCTCAACAAATTCCTCAATCATTCAATGCAAGTACCAAAATGATACATCTTTCCAAAAATACTCAATCATTCAATGCAAGTAACACCTCTCAACTCTCAACAAAGTAATTCAATTAAAATCAATATAACTAAAGCAAAGCTTCTTTACATGTCTTCCGATTATGAGTTCCCATCTTTCCACACCTACTGCATCTAATTCTTTTGATTTCGCCCTTAGAAGGTATTCTCTCTGTTCTTGGACGTCCAGCTGGTCTCTTACAAAGACGAGGTAAAACAATGTCATCATCGACAACTACATTTGGCTTCCACATACTAGGAACTGGATATATAGAATGTGAATAAGAATCACAATAACTACTAACACAATAGTAGTCATCAAGAAAACAATTCAGATCCTTCTCACTCCTCTTTTAGCACAAAAACCATGTTTGCAAGGGAAAGAATCAATTTCCCATAATCGACAAGAACAAGAACTTTTCCCAATATCAACCATAACTGAATGATCCAATTGGATTTCATAAATGTCATCGCTACATTTCTTAATTATCCATGCTTTTGTATCATTAAAAGCTTCTTCCAACTTTTTCTCTGCAAAAGGACAAATAATACGATTCCACTTATTTCCAACTTCTCTCTTTCTTGAAAATTGCCCCATTAGTTTCACCCATATAGCATCAACAAGACCAGTTGAAAACAAATGGCGTTCATCCCTAATCCATGAATTAAAAGATTTCACGGCATTTGTGCACATTTCACCATACATCTTGCCTTGAAAATAAGTGTTACACCAACACTCATTAGGCAAATCCTCAAGAAACTTCTCAACACTACGACCACAACGACCCTTCAATTCTTCAAATAGCTCATTAACAACTCAATAGTAGGAGCATATGCACATCTACTAAAAAGAGTAAGCAAATACTCTTTAGATTCACGACTCTTCACCGACAAATAAGTCTTCAAGTTTGTCTTCAAATGCATTAGACAAAAAGAATGAGAAGAAAACGGAAAGACCTCAGCTAAAGCTTTCAGCAAACCTCCATGCCGATCAGTAACAAACGCAATATCCCTCTCCAGAGTCAAAATAACAAATAACTTTGACAAGAACCAATGCCAACTGTCATAACTTTCACTATCAACAATGGCAAAACATAACGGATATAAACCTACAAACAAAATATATATACACGTTATCAATAACAAATAAAAAAATTACAAAAAAGAAAATCAAAACACAAAGTATATAACATATAGCACCAGCCATAGATAAATTTATCATTGTATAAATATAAAAATTTAACAAAAGTATACGACATAAATTTATCACTAATAGATTGACCATACTCAATAATCAACACTCTCCAGTAACAAAAATGATAGAATTATCATTGTTTTAATAATAATAACAAATAGACACAGAATATACCTTGGTTACCATCTTTTGTCGTAGCAGACAATAAACAACATTTGTGTTTTCCTTTCAAGAAAGTTCCATCAAGCATCAACACAGGTCGACAATACTTAAAACCATGAATACATGCCTCAAAAGCGAAAAACAAGCATTTGAAATGTCTTCCTTTACTATCAACATCAAATTCCATATCAAAAACACTCCCCGGATTACAATCATTAGCGGCATCAACATACCAACGAAGATCGTCAAATGATGATGAATAGTCACCAAAAACAAGACCTCTTGCTTTTTCAACACCCATCCAAGCTCGCCGATAAAAAACTGTTGTTCCATAATAGTCCTTGAAATCACAAACCACCTCACTAACCGATGTCAAAGCCTTATTACGAATATCACTTGAAATTAGCCCACCAATCATACTTGAAGTCATCCTAGCATGTTTAATTGTACGAAAAGAAGATCCACAAGTATGAACATCATCAAATTGTTTAATAACAAAAGCTTCACTATAATTTTCCACTCTAGCATGCACGCTCCATAAACATCCCAAATCATCCCTTTTCTTACAATAAACAGTGGCATGATCCTTATCATTCTTAACAAAATCAAAATCAAAACCGGAATGAATAAAATACTTTGACAACGGATCTCGAAATTCAACAACTCCTTGAGCAAACCTTTGTCCCACTTCTTTCATACAATTAACCCACCCATTGGAGAGCAAAGGTTTCCGTTGATTTGAATAAAATGAAGGCAAAAAATCAGTTTCACAAACAACACTACTACTGCTACTAGCTTCAACATCACAAATCATATAACCTTCACCCAAAGAACAACACTTTACAAAAACATCAATACGATGAATATCACAAGAAAGTGCCAGTCCAACCATAACCTTCAAATCATCTTCACTTTGTAGACCACGACAAGAATGTCCAGGCATTGAATACGATATATTCAAAGAACTATCAACTAACTCACTCCACTTTGCACACAATTTATATACTAAATCCTTGAAATTAAATCCATCATTATACTTGATAACTAATGTCACGCATCTAAACTTGCACATAAAAAACAAAAAAATTCTCCATCACTATAAATCCTGCAACAAACAACAATTATATTTAAGCAAACAACTCAAACACCCCTAAAACAAAATCAAATACAGTAATAAAATTATCAGTCAATTCAAACACATCCAAAAACCAACACTAATAACTTTAACAGCTAACACCACCAAAGACCAAGAACAGTGAATAAGGCTTACATTTATTAGACATGGTAACTCGATTTGAATCTTACCATTACATTATGCAACCTTTTCATCTCCTATTCCCATACTTACACATAAATTTATCACTGTTGAAAAAGTTAATCCAACAACACCCCCAAAATACTCAGTGATAAAATTATCACTGTATAAAATAACAAACCAGCACCTGTCTTTAATCAAAACAATTTCGTAACAAAAAAAAGAAAAATGTAAAATTCTTTACATATACATATCTCAAAGCTTTCAATATCATAATCAAAACACAAATTCAATCGCAACAGAAACAACAGAGTAACAACAATATCACCACAAAATCAAAATTACCAACTCAAACTAAAAAGAACCAAAACATTGAAATTGAAATCAAAATCAAACATATCAGTCGACCTAACTCCATAACATCGCAAATCAAAAAATGTAACTATACACCAAATGCGAAATCGCAAATAAGAAGATTCACCAAGCATGCAATCGCAAATCACAAATCGAGAAGATACACCAAGCGCAAAATCAGAAATCACAAAGCTCCACAATAATACAGCAGCAAATTGTGAAGTTCCACAGAAATCCAAATCACAAACCCATACTCACAACACAATATTTTGATGGAAAATCCAAACAGAAACGCGCCAAAACAGGGGAGGGGTAAAACGGTACCAAAAAAAAGGCTCAGGGCCTATTGGTGCACAAGAGCAAAACTCAGGACTAAGAGGGAAATAAGTGTAAAAGGTATGACCGGCCAGTAAAAAACCCTTAAAGAAACACATGGGCCCAGATTACTCAAAACAACCCACCATCTTCACCAAAATGTCTTGGCCCAAAACTATGAATATGCATTTATATAAAATATAAATAGAAAATATATACACTGCGCCCCATGTCTGTATCATACCTAGCTTCTTATAGCCTCGAAGCTTCGCTTAACGACGCATGACCAGAAAAGCATTCTGATTCTGAAGCACGTCGGAAGCCGCAGAAGGACAGCATGACCTCCTCATGAACCTCATAGCTGCACTATCACTTTAGCGAAGACTAGCAATCCAAAACCAAAAATAGCATCGGAGCCACGAACAGTTTTCTATGCTGATTTTCAACCATACCGGTGACAACCGGCTTATATCGCCCTGTGTATCGGATTTAGGTCGCTACGTACCGGGACTCGGCCGTTACGGCTACGAATTTCATTCTCCCCACTATACTGGTCTATATCCGAACCGATGGTCTGATTTTTCGGTACGAATCGGCCGGTACGGCATAATAAAAAAAAAGACTACTTTTAATCATATATATATATGTGTGATATCTCACATATACGAGTTCTGATCCCATCTTTTTCATTCACAACATAGCCATCTCTTTTCTTTTTTTCTTTTTTCTTTTTTTGTTGGGGGGGGGGAGGGGGTTTGAATAAGTCATAAACATAGCCATCTCCGTTTATTGGAATCCTCATTGTGGGGAAATAATAATGATAAGTTGTCCACATGGCCTACATGGCGTGGGGTGGGGGCGGGGGGGTGAATAAGTTATAAACATAGCCACCTCCATTTATTGGAATCCTCATTGTGGGGAAATAATAATGATAAGTTGTCTACATGGCCTACATAGTTAGTTGAGGCGCCACCTAGATAATTTTGATTTGTCAAGGTGTGAGCAAATTACACTTGAATCCAAGATGTTCGGATAGAGGTCAAAAATTCTAGATGATGGCAGATTCTTTGTTTGGATAAATAAGGACTCTTGAGAGAGTTAATCTTAATTCGAATTGGAAAAGCCCTTGATAAGTATTATTTTTGAAGGGAATAGAGTTCTATGAAATAAGACTTTTAACGGACGATGACACTAATCATTATAAAAGGAAAGTACCCTCGTGGGTAAAAGATATGTTTTTGTTGAGAATTGTTTACTTGAGCCGATATCATAGAGAGATAGTTGACTAACTTGATTGTCGGAGTGTCCCCAAGTGGACGAGTAACCAGTCTTATTATCTAGTCTTGTTGTCTTTTTATGTACAGGTATTGAACTTTTCTATTCCTATACATACTCTATGATTTACTTCCCAAAATCTTGGAGAAGAAATCTGATCTGATTATGATACCATATTTCAACACCCACACATATGAAACAATTTTTTTGAACAGTCACACTAATGAAACAATTTCACTTCCATAAAGTGAGACTAATTTTCTGTACGCAAAAATGGATTGAAGTTGGTATAAATTTAGAAGTACAAATATTCCAGTATTGCAAGTTTTTTTCTTTCTTTTTCTTTATATAATCAAATGATATGCAGTTTAAGCTTGTTTTATGCATTACTAACATATACTAAATCCTTTATTCATTTATTTTATGAGCCAAAATATATATATATATATTTGAACTTTAGTTTTATGAATAAAATTTTAAGTCAAAATTATGAATTTGTAATATTACTTAATAAAATATATAAAATAAAAAAATAAATATTGCATTATTATTTGACAAGAAAAGAATGAAAAAAGGGAAAAGAGCAGGAGGGCAACCTATTTTAATAATTCGAATCATTTATATTATATGGTTTGTTTAGTATATCATTTATAAAAAAAAATTAAAAAAAAAAAAGATAATTGAACATGTATAATCCCATAACAATACCATATTTATGTTTAAATAAAATAAACGATTAGTATAATTTTGATAATTTAAAAAAAAAAAAAGATTTTGCATGAGATTACACATGTTCGATTGATTTTATTTTTCATATAGATGAGATGTTTGATGAACTTTATAATATGAACCATTCAAATCATGAAATAAAAAACATAGCAAATAAATCTGGTAAGCTGCACCCACCCATTATCCAATTTGCCAGTGACTTTTAAACCGGTTTAATGGGTTTATGGTTTAATGACTTTCCACCACCGACTCCCACCCTCGCCACCTGCTACCAAACACTAGATCCTCAATCATCGCTGCCGTGAGACGCCTCAGCCTCATATCGCGGCCCCCAGGAACTCCGCCCGCTGCCACAAGCTATTGCTCCTTGTGCTATAGCCTTTGGTTTGACTCTGAAAACATAATTTTGATAAAAATTTCTAAAATTTTGTTTGGTTAGAAACTTTTTGAAAAATTTCCAAAGTTATTTTCTCTCTCCTACATATCAATTAATTATTTTTTCTCTCTCCTCTCTCATTCGCAATCACTTTTTCTCTCACACACATTTACTCAACTATAACAAAATATCAAATTATCCCAAACTCTCATACTCTAAAACTATTTCCAAAATATACAATCAAACAAATCAAAAAAAATTCTAAACTCTTTTCCCAAAAATTTTTTTGAAAATTTATCTCCCAAAACCAAACCAAACACACCCTTTATCTCTCTCTCTCTCTCTCTCTTAAAAAATATGCAAATATTCCTAATTTGGTTTAAGACTGAAGTATACAATTAATCTGTTAATGAAAAATACTAAAAAGACTATTATACCCTCCTCACTTTAACAATATCTCCCCTTGTTTCTTCTGCAGACCAAAAAAATACAATAAAATGTTGCAGCGGGTATGCTGGTAGAGCATTATGCTTTCCGATATCCTTGCTATCTTTGCACTCTATAATGTTTTGTTAATTCAATAAATTGTTGTTTTCATTACTGATTAAATAAATAAATAAATAAATAATTATAATCACCACCATCACTCTATTTAACAAAAACTCCACCACCAATTTTAATAGATAAAAAGAGTACATTGACTCTAACCTAATCTCGAAACACAATGTAACCAGGGAAATCCACATATAAGAAAATAACTTTACGAAAAAAAAAAACACATCTAAGTAACATCCAATCCCATTAAAGATATCTTTTGTGGGACTTATTCTACTATACTTTTACATTAAGAGGCCTGTTGAAAAATGTCCCTTCAAATAATTTCAGATAATGCTTTCAGGAAACAAGTTAATCCCCGCCTTCTAGGGAATCAATCACTTCCGTGAAGGATGGAACGATTTTGATGTTGAGGTTGGCACAGGATTGACGAGCACAGAGGTTACAAAAGCTTTGACCCTGGTTCCAGAATGGGTGTAACCATCTTCATCCTTGTATATAACATGTGTCATTCGTGTAAGGTTGACTATTCGCAACAGGAGAGGCATTGGGACCGCAGTTGGGCGAAGGTATGCTGCATTTATGTCTTTCCATGCATTTGTAACTAGCTTACGAAATTCAACAAGCACTTCTTCTTCTGTTGCGCCATGTTGTTTCATGTAGCATTCAACTGCCGAGGCTGCATGACCTCTCTTTTGCTCAAACTACAATTAAAGGGATCGTTAAGGTTAGAAAATAGGATTTAAAAACTACTACTTTATAGTCATGAAACCTAGTCTAATTATAACATCATTCCCTAATTATTACATGAATTTTGAGACCATGTATTATAACCCATCTGTCTTACCTTGTGGCCAACCATGTCATTCATGAGTCTGCCAACCGCTGACGAAGCTTGAGCAATTAAAGGATTATTTGACACCCAATCAAAGGCCTCTTCGGACGCCACTTCTCCCATGCCCACAAACGAAGTGGTTGCAAGCATTGGGTGACCACTGGTTACTAGTGCAACACTCATATACTCTTCCATAGATGGAACATAGCCTTGGTGAAACCATTTGGCTTCTTCAAAGTATGCTCTAACTAAAATTTTCATCTGACATTTGGAGAAAATGGATCGATCAACTTGTTTGGTTTCGTTTTTCTAAAAACAATTTTCAGAAAATTTTACTTTTTTATTTTCTGAATTTTTTTAATATTTTAAGTAATTTTTTTAATTTTTAGACACCCTTAAAATAAATACACATAAAAAGTATAATTTTTGTAAAAAAATCTTTTAAAAATTCAATAAATACTTAACATACAAAAAAAATACAAAAATTTAGTTTTTCATATTTTTATGTATTTGTTAATTTTTTAAAATATTTTTTCACAAATTTTGTACTTTTTAAATACATCTAAGGTATATCTAAAAAAGTAAAAAAAAAAATGCTTAAAATTTTAAAAATATTCACTAAAAACAAAAAAAAAAACACGAAAAACAAAAACTCAGTTTTCAAAAAACTTAATTCACAAAACTCAAACCAAATACACTAGTTTTCAATCAAATTTTACATAAAATCTTATTACTAGTAACAAAATGTGACAGATTAGCACGAGGCTTACGGTAGATTTTGCGTAGTGGACGCAATATGATCTTTCTTGCTTGCTCATCTCTTCATCAATCATATTGTACACATCTAGTAGTGCTTGATAACACAGCTTCATGTATTCTGGAAGTTGATCTAAGGCACTGCTTTCCCACCTGAAAATCAAATAGCCTATGAAGAGATTTTTATTCTTCTATGTTATCAAATCCAAAGATCACGAAAAGAATGAATCAATTCAAACCTCTCAACTGCGTCAGTGAAGAGTTCAAGTTCTTCCAAGGTACCATAGGCATCATAGATGTCATCAATAATGGAAGTCAAGGCGATTACTTTGGTTAGTATCCTTCTAGCTAGAAAATATTGGGGCTCAAAGTATACTCCCAATATCCAGAAGTAGCACTCCACCAATCTATCTCTTGCAAAAGGTAGTTTCTTTGCAAAGTCCAAATCTTTCCACCATCTGAAATAATTACCCCATGAATCAATTTGACTAGATAGCTTGACTTGATTAACAACAACGTTACATACCCAAGAAAAATATTTGAAAAAAACAAAAATGTTCAGAATTTTAAATATCTGGATAAAAAAAAAGTGCCCAATTTAAATTTATACCATTTTTTTTTTCTTCTCTCCAAATACCATAGCATTTACGACTGATTAAAGAATTCACCTTGTGATTTCGCTTAGCTCCCACTGGTGTGTTTTTTGCAATAGGTTGAAATCTAATTTGGCAAAATTCAGTAGAACTTCATTATGGGAATCATCTTGTTCATAGAAGAATATGTAATGGCTTGACTCTATCCTTGTGCAGCCATAATGGATGGGCTGATTCAGAGCATGAATTACTTGTTCTTTAAGAGGATTGCTCAAGTTAAGTATTGCACACTTAAGGTGAGTGGTGGTAAAAACCAGTGCTTCATCTAGTATCTCTTCTCCTCGCATCCTGAGATGTGTAGCTTCATACAAGCTTAGCATTCCTTGTACGTCACCAATTACATATTCATGAAATTTGCCATTGTTGTCCTTGAATTTGTTGAACACATCTGCTTAAACCATCAAATAGATGACCATGCATGGTGTGTGTATGACTGTTAATTATAGCTTTGTTTATAGAGACCTTAAAATCAAAAGGCAAAAAAGACTTACTACAAGAGACAGGATGTCCTTGTTGTCTAACTAAGCGAAACGAGAGAGCAACGGTATAAAGATCACCATTGGCTTTGTCATCATGGTGATCATAATAGGTTTCATATATGTGCTGTAAAGCTGCCTCGATCTCAGTTTCGAAATGGTAAGACACGCCTAGGCGTTGGATTGCATCGATGAAGTTCAGTTTCTGTGAAGGCTGATCATCAACAGCTGCCAGGAGCATTTTTCTCACTTCTTCTTTCAGCTGTTGGAGTTGTTGCTCCATGTTAACATCTACTTCCTGCAACATGAAAACATATATACATGCATGTGTCCAACAAAATTCCATGATAATTTTTATTTTATTTTTTTGCGTTCATGTTATCAGAATTTAAATAGAAGTTGATATGTAACAAGATTTTAGATTTTGTATACTAATATTTAAAGATATATTGGTCGATATTGTTTTATATCAACTGATATGTAACTGTATTCTGATACTAATACCTGTTCTAATACTATTATTTAAGAACATGCACAAAACCAAAGATATACATTAAATATGTGCAATGGCTAACAAATCCAATTTTACCACGGCATGAGAGGCATATGCAAGGAAATCGTCTCCCCAAATGCTAGGATGAAAATTCGCAGATCGACGAGTAACCTCTGGTACAATATTTTTGATTGAATCTGGAATAGGCAAAGCATGAATACATGATTCCATGTTTTATTTTTATTTTGCGGCTTCTTTTGAAAGATAAGAGAAAATGGGATTGAACAAGAGCACCCTTTACTCCCAAACTCTGGACCAAAGAGCTTTAGTGTTTTGCTATTTATATTAAAAAATTGAACGATTCCCTACAGTTTGGGATTTATGTTAGTTTTTTTAATTGTGATATATTTGATGTTAAATTTTAAATTTTGTTTTAAATAAAGACAATCAATGATATTTCCTTTGCATACGGTCCATTTCAAGGGCAAAATCATACAACTTATTTTGTGTTGGTTAACTTATGTGCTTTTTAAAATGTAATGGCTTTTTTTGATGAATAATGTTGTCACTTTCTTGGTTATAAAGTTCTGTTTTGTTTGGTTTTCAAAATCTATTTTTAGAAATTTTTTTTAAAAAACTAAAAATTAAATTGATGAAAAAAATTAAAAACACATTATTTTTATATAATTTTATCTTTTGAGGGTAGAAATAACTTTTTAAAATTAATTTTTTTTTCTTTATATATATTTTTGTTAAATTAATTTTTATTTTTTTAAAAGTCAAACATCACAATAATGTTAATGTTATTATTAAACCAATATATTAAATCAAAAAAAATCCAAAATTACAAATATTTTATATATTAAATATATTAATTACACATTAAAAGTTTAATAATCATTCATTACATGATAACCATCCAAAAATATATATCAACAACAAAAACAATCATCTATTACATGATAACCATCCAAAAACATCAACAAAAATAACCACTCATTACATGATCATCATCCAAACATATTCTAAAAATTAATTTGGTAAAAATATAAAATAAACTAAAATAAAATGTAAAAGATTTATCATTTTATATAATTTTATCTTTGGTGGGTAGAAATAATTTTTAAAAATTCAAAAATAATTTTTTCACATTTGTTTTTGTCAAATTAATTTATATTTTATCAAAATGACGATTTTATCCTTAAAATGGAGCATTTTTCGTTTGCAAAGGCAACAGTATCTTTAAATATTTTTATTTAAAACGAGATTCAAAATTCATAGTGAAATATATTACAATTGAAAGGTCATATACCAAAACAACACAGTGAACATCCTAATTTTCAACTAATAAAAAAAAGATTGTTTTATTAACCAAATCTGAACACCTTACTTTTGGCATGAAAAGACCAACGACCAACAACAAAATAAAATCAAGTTGTTTTATTTTGACGTGGAGATGTGGACTTCCTAATTCTGACATGAAAGACCAAGGACCGCATAAAATAAAATCAAGTTGTTTTATTAACAAAATTCAGAATAGGACGTATAATTATTTTATAAAAATATATTTCCACGGCAAAAAGTTCAGAATTGAAAATACAAATAAGGAAACAACAAAATCATCTCATTACACCAAATTTCTATTACACAACATGTCAAATTTTAAAAAATTGATTTTATCTCTTTACCATCTTCATAATACCAACTATACCCTCTTCTTTACACGTCTAACTTTCAAACCCTACTTTTATCCACTCCCAACCACCTCCTCCGCAGCTCCTCCACCACTGGCAACTCCCTCTACTATCACAACCGCTGTACCAGTCCACCTCAACTGCTGCATCTCCCCTTCTACCTTCCCCCACTGAGCCTCCTTCTCCATCACGATCCTCCTCCCCGGTGGTGACCCATCTACACTGCTGTGAACCGCCCTGCGAACCCATCCATGCCCTCCATCATGGCGTGCAAGTGAGAGAAAGAGAGAAGTTTCATATTTGAACAATAACGGAGGAAGAGGAGCAGAAGAAAAATCAGGATCACATAGAGGAAAATCTAACCTGGACTCCAAGTCTAAGAGGGGGAAGGGTTTTCAGAGATAAGGAAAGGGTTTCTAGGGGTTAAGGGAGGTAGGAAAGGGGTGGAAGAGGGCTACCGGAGGAAGATAGCAGTGGTGGAGACTGGTGGGTGAGGTACGAAAATTGTTTGTTGAATTTTTTGAGTTTGAGGATTAATTGGTAATTTTATACGAGGATAAAATAGAAAAAAAAAAAAAAAAAAAAAAAAAAAAAAAAAAAAATGAAAGATAAGGGTGTAATGAGTTGTAGTTGACAGGGGTGCTCATCCATTCTAGACAGCATAGGCTACCCTACTAGAACAATATGTGGTGCTAAACATATGAATGATCAATATATCAATGAGATCGTAAGCCCTCTTTCGTGGGTTCCAAATATTTTCTTATGTGGTGCTTAGCTTGCTCCTTCAAAAAAACATGTGGCTAAAGTTTATAACTCATAGTTAGATATCACGGGGTGGAACTCAGTGATGTTTTAGGAAATTGGTAAAAAGTTAATTTTTTAATTTTTTTACTTTTTTGATAATTTTTTTGGGCAAAAAGTTAAGTTGTTTTACGTAAAAAAAAAAATTGGTTTTTTTTTGGCTAAAAAATCTAAAAAGTCAAAATGCTGGGTTTTTACCATGCTGCCCCTCAAATGGATCCAATTTGATTTTTTAAAAAAGATTTGAGCAGTATATTTTAAATTTTGTCGGCAACAACTCTAAATTGAATTTGTGGAACTCAAATGGTCCCAATTTGATTTGTGTAAAAAGATTTGAACAATATATTTTAAATTTTGTCTGACTACTTGACAACTCTAAATTGAATTTGGTGTGATTTTATTTACATTTAAATAATAACTTAATACGTTTAATTAAAATTTTAAAATTTTAATTCTTATTATATTTTAACATAAATTTATTCATAAATATTATTTTTTTGTCTTATGATACATCCAAATGACTTTTGTATATTTTTCATATTCAATTCTTTTCATCTTTTTTCTCAAGTTTCAATTATTTTTTCTTTATCTTCTTCTTCATTTCAAAACTCTAATCCATCATATTAAAATTCACCATTATCATCAATATCAATAGTAAAAAAATTTAACAGATCAAATGTCATGATAAAAAAATAAAATAAAATAAAGTGTTCGATTTATTAGCAAACTACGTAGTCCTTGGTTAATAGAAATATTTGAGAGACTGGACTATAGAATGTGTGACAATATGGGCTTGAGGAAGGGAGGGCGACGCAGCCAGTCAACAAGGATTGAAAATTGCAAGTGTTTATGGATTGAAAATTATACTATAGTGTGGGGTCACATTTTCGAACGATAGCACGTGGCAAAGGTAAAGCTGAAGTGTCAACCAAGTTGCCACGTGGCCTAGTCACGCGCCAAGATGATCTCTGTTAGGCCGAGGTTGCCTACGGAGATATCGGAATCCAAATTAAGCAGATAGGAGACAAGAGTCTTATAACAGGGGAGGATCTCATTCTAGATAGAGATAAGGCTCAAAAAGAGTTTATCTCTATCTAGATGAGGGTTCAGGATAAGCATGAAGCCTGAGTCCATTAAAGTAAGGCTTCTAAGGAGATCAGGTCATTGTTGGTTATAAATGTAAGGCACCCTCGTGGATCAGAGCTAAGTTCTTTCTTGTCAGTTTAAGCATAATTTGCTATCTTTAAGAGATATTGATTACTGACTTGATCGTCGGAGTGCCCTCGGGTGGACGAACCACTGCCGGATTTTCATCTTCTTGTACAGGTTATTGGGCTTAATTTATTCTACCAATGCTCTCCAATTGAGTTTCTCATTTGGTTGTGTAGTCGGAAATCAACACCCACAATTTGGCACCGTCTGTGAAAACCTAAGTAGAATAGATGGCCAACAACGGACAAGAAGAAAAGATTGAGGATGACATTAACAGTGAGAGTTATGAACATAGAGATCCTAACGTCGGGAAAGAAAATCATAATGAGGAAGCACAGGATCTGAATCTTAGGGAGAAGGACGTCGGCAATGAGGGGAATGCTCCAAAGAAAGCTAGTCGAGATTAGTACTACAACAAGAGCAACTTCCAAGTATGGAAGGATAGATACCTAAGGAGGGATGGCGAACAAGTTAGCAAACCTACAGTCGGTTGTCAACTTCATGATGTAGAACAACGTGACCCGTTGCAGGACACGCCAGTACCAGTGGCAAAGACTGACGCCCTGAAAAGGGGCAGAAAACAATCCCAGCAGTCAAGCAGCATGGCAAGAAAAAAAGAAACGCTCACATCGGCCTTCATGGGATGTCGGGCAAGTAGAGTCAGTGAGAGGTGAGTCGTAGAGGACACCATGAACCAAGGAGACCTACGTCAAAGAACATCGGCATATCCAAGGGAAGGGACTTTGCTTTGATACATTGAATAAATAGAAGTCCAAGAGGACGCACAATGATGCTGGAAGCAGCGCGCCGAAAAGGCTGAAATCTGTTGATGACCGAGCTCCCAGTCGAACGAAGAAGGATCTGAAGGACTACCTCTAAAGAAAGTGACTCCACACCGAGGTAATATCCCCCATCAAGTCGACAACGTCGTTCTCAATGGAGTTGGATAGATTTGAGACCCCAAAAAGATGCCATATGCCGAGGTTCCAGATTTATGACTGTAAGCCTAATCCGAACTTTTATGTCGGCTTATATTTAAATTCAATGGCTTTGTATAGTGGAAATGAGCATTTGTTGTGCAAGGTGTTCCCCTCATCCTTTGGGGAAATCGCATCAGATTGGTTCCACAAGTTACCGAAAGGAATTATGAAGAGTTGGAAAGGCCTGGCCGAGATGTTTGTGGCCAGGTTTGTAAGAAACAAGTTGCAGCCACAGAGAGTAGACTCCCTGCTGGCTCTGAATATTAGCGAGGGTGAAAGCCTCAGGGTTTATGCCAAATGGTATTATGAGGTGTTCAACCGAATACCGGCATGCAACCAGGAGCTGACGGTTGTATCTTTTAAAAACGGCCAGGAAAATGAATGCCTATCACATCCCAAATCCAGGTATGACCGGCCGTGGCCCACAGGGACTCAGCCCAAGGCACACGTAAGCCTAACCACTAATCCATAATCACATTGAGCAACTATACAAAAGTTCAGTAATAAATAACCAAACTCAATCCAGTGACATGCCACAAGTATAAACGGCAAAACCAACCGTAATCAATACCATCCAAACTTATGGGATATAAACAGCCTACATATCAAAATAATCCTAAATAAACCTCAATAAA